TTATAGCATTAAGTTTCATCATTGGTTTCACACATGGTGACCATAGAAGCAAATTTCAATTTCATTGTTGTCATCTCAACAATGCAGTGGCTTTTTAAAATCAAATGCTGACCATCCATGACAAATCAAATTACCTCAGTGCAGATATCTTGTTCACTTTTCAATCAATGTACATCTGACAGTAAAGTTCATATCCACGACTCATGTTGCACTCTTGACCAGGGAAAATCTTGAATATTACAAGAACACATGATTAATATAAAATTGCATTTTCAACTATCTTAATTATTGTCTAGTTTTTGGTCAGGCATTCTATGGTTACTTCATCCCTCTATATATAACTATGGTTGCTATATTTATTCAAAGACCAGCACAGGAATTTATCACTGGTGACACATAGTGAGTATAGAAGCAAAGTTCACTTTAACATAACAAAATTGTGACTGCCTGACGATTTTCATGAAGATCCTAGTTGCAGCAAATTCCCCCTTATACTAAATAACAAAATATATATCTGGGCGGTTGATATATATTACAAGGTCACTACAAGAATTTCAGCTGCAAGGCTAATATAAATTTTAAGGAACAATCAAATTACCTCTGCAAAAATCTTGTTCACTTCCAATTTTCCTCTGACAGTAAAGTCCATATCCACCGCAGCTAATGTGGCTGGTTGCACTCTTGATCAAGGAAAATCTTGAATATTAAAGAAGTTATTAAAGACAAAATTCCATTTTCAACTATCTTAATTATTGTCTAGTTTTTCGTCAGGTATTCTATGGTTACTTCATCCCTCTATAATAACTATGGTTGCTATATTTATTCAAAGACCAGCACAGGAATTTATTACTGGTGACACATAGTGAGTATAGAAGCAAAGTTCACTTTATAAATAACAAAATTGTGACTGCCTGACGATTTTCATGAAGATCCTAGTTGCAGCAAATTCCCCCTTATACTAAATAACAAAATATATCTGGGCGGTTGATATATATTACAAGGTCACTACAAGAATTTCAGCTGCAAGGCTAATATAAATTTTGAAGGAACAATCAAATTACCTCTGCAAAAATCTTGTTCACTTCCAATTTTCCTCTGACAGTAAAGTCCATATCCACAGCAGCTAATGTGGCTGGTTGCACTCTTGACAAGGAAAATCTTGAATATATAAAGAAGTTATTATTAAGACAAAATTCCATTTTCAACTATCTTAATTATTGTCTAGTTTTTCGTCAGGTATTCTATGGTTACTTCATCCCTCTATATATAACTATGGTTGCTATATTTATTCAAAGACCAGCACAGGAATTTATTACTGGTGACACATAGTGAGTATAGAAGCAAAGTTCACTTTATAATCTTAACAAAATTGTGACTGCCTGACGATTTTCATGAAAAAGATCCTAGTTGCAGCAAATTCCCCCTTATAATAAATAACAAAATATATATCCGGGCAGTTGATATATACAAAGTCACTACAAGAATTTCAGCTGCAAGGCTAATATAAATTTTGAAGGAACAATCAAATTACCTCTGCAAAAATCTTGTTCACTTCCAATTTTCCTCTGACAGTAAAGTCCATATCCACAGCAGCTAATGTGGCTGGTTGCACTCTTGACCAAGGAAAATCTTGAATATATAAAGAAGTTATTATTAAGACAAAATTCCATTTTCAACTATCTTAATTATTGTCTAGTTTTTCGTCAGGTATTCTATGGTTACTTCATCCCTCTATATATAACTATGGTTGCTATATTTATTCAAAGACCAGCACAGGAATTTATTACTGGTGACACATAGTGAGTATAGAAGCAAACTTTATAATCTTAACAAAATTGTGACTGCCTGACGATTTTCATGAAAAAGATCCTAGTTGCAGCAAATTCCCCTTATAATAAATAACAAAATATATATCCGGGCAGTTGATATGTATTACAAAGTCACTACAAGAATTTCAGCTGCAAGGCTAATATAAATTTTGAAGGAACAATCAAATTACCTCTGCAAAAATCTTGTTCACTTCCAATTTTCCTCTGACAGTAAAGTCCATATCCACAGCAGCTAATGTGGCTGGTTGCACTCTTGACAAAGGAAATCTTGAATATATAAAGAAGTTATTATTAAGACAAAATTCCATTTTCAACTATCTTAATTATTGTCTAGTTTTTCGTCAGGTATTCTATGGTTACTTCATCCCTCTATATATAACTATGGTTGCTATATTTATTCAAAGACCAGCACAGGAATTTATTACTGGTGACACATAGTGAGTATAGAAGCAAAGTTCACTTTATAATCTTAACAAAATTGTGACTGCCTGACGATTTTCATGAAGATCCTAGTTGCAGCAAATTCCCCCTTATAATAAATAACAAAATATATATCTGGGCGTTGATATATATTACAAGGTCACTACAAGAATTTCAGCTGCAAGGCTAATATAAATTTTGAAGGAACAATCAAATTACCTCTGCAAAAATCTTGTTCACTTCCAATTTTCCTCTGACAGTAAAGTCCATATCCACAGCAGCTAATGTGGCTGGTTGCACTCTTGATCAAGGAAAATCTTGAATATATAAAGAAGTTATTATTAAGACAAAATTCCATTTTCAACTATCTTAATTATTGTCTAGTTTTTCGTCAGGTATTCTATGGTTACTTCATCCCTCTATATATAACTATGGTTGCTATATTTATTCAAAGACCAGCACAGGAATTTATTACTGGTGACACATAGTGAGTATAGAAGCAAAGTTCACTTTATAATCTTAACAAAATTGTGACTGCCTGACGATTTTCATGAAAAAGATCCTAGTTGCAGCAAATTCCCCCTTATAATAAATAACAAAATATATCCGGGCAGTTGATATGTATTACAAAGTCACTACAAGAATTTCAGCTGCAAGGCTAATATAAATTTTGAAGGAACAATCAAATTACCTCTGCAAAAATCTTGTTCACTTCCAATTTTCCTCTGACAGTAAAGTCCATATCCACAGCAGCTAATGTGGCTGGTTGCACTCTTGACAAGGAAAATCTTGAATATATAAAGAAGTTATTATTAAGACAAAATTCCATTTTCAACTATCTTAATTATTGTCTAGTTTTTCGTCAGGTATTCTATGGTTACTTCATCCCTCTATATATAACTATGGTTGCTATATTTATTCAAAGACCAGCACAGGAATTTATTACTGGTGACACATAGTGAGTATAGAAGCAAAGTTCACTTTATAATCTTAACAAAATTGTGACTGCCTGACGATTTTCATGAAAAAGATCCTAGTTGCAGCAAATTCCCCCTTATAATAAATAACAAAATATATATCCGGGCAGTTGATATGTATTACAAAGTCACTACAAGAATTTCAGCTGCAAGGCTAATATAAATTTTGAAGGAACAATCAAATTACCTCTGCAAAAATCTTGTTCACTTCCAATTTTCCTCTGACAGTAAAGTCCATATCCACAGCAGCTAATGTGGCTGGTTGCACTCTTGACAAGGAAAATCTTGAATATATAAAGAAGTTATTATTAAGACAAAATTCCATTTTCAACTATCTTAATTATTGTCTAGTTTTTCGTCAGGTATTCTATGGTTACTTCATCCCTCTATATATAACTATGGTTGCTATATTTATTCAAAGACCAGCACAGGAATTTATTACTGGTGACACATAGTGAGTATAGAAGCAAAGTTCACTTTATAATCTTAACAAAATTGTGACTGCCTGACGATTTTCATGAAAAAGATCGTAGTTGCAGCAAATTCCCCCTTATAATAAATAAAAAATATATATCCGGGCAGTTGATATGTATTACAAAGTCACTACAAGAATTTCAGCTGCAAGGCTAATATAAATTTTGAAGGAACAATCGAATTACCTCTGTGCAGAAATCTTGTTCACTTCCAATGTTCATTTGAAAGTAAAGTTCATATCCACAGTTAATGTTGCACTCTTGTCCAAGAAAAATCTTGAATATAAAAAGACATTATTAATATAAAATTCCATTTTCAACTATCTTAATTACTGTCTAGTTTTTGGTCAGGTAATCTATGGTTACTTCATCCTTCTATATATAACTATGGTTGCTATATTTACTTCAAGACCACCACAGGAATTTATTACTGGTGACACATAGTGAGTATAGAAGCAAAGTTCACTTAGCAATCTTAACCAAATTGTGACCGCACTGACAATTTTCATGAAAAAGATCCTAGTTGCAGCAAATTCCCTCTTATACTATTGAAATAACAAAATACATACCCAGGCAGTTGATATGTATTACAAGGTAGTGACAAGATTTTCAGCTGCAAGGCTAATATAAATTTAGAAGAAACAATCGAATTACCTCTGTGCAGAAATCTTGTTCACTTCCAATGTTGACCAAGGAAAATCTTTAATATAATAAGACATTATTAATATAAAATTGCATTTATAACTACCTTAATTATTGTCTAGTTTTAGCAGAAGGCACACAAACAGTAAAGTAAAATACTTAACTTTGACCAGACAGCACAACAATCTTGCTCAGAAAGGTCCGCGAACGGTCCACGTGTATAGTTTTCTTCGGCATCGCCATTTTGAATTCGGCCGGGCGAGTCTTGAACTGATTTCTATTTCAACTGTTCTCTTGACGTTCGTCTTGATAACTAGCTGTTGAGATAAACGTTAATGACAAAATCTTCAGTTCTGCTTCAGTCTATGGGTACGAAAATTGCTCAAGACATAAATTTTCAGTAAAAAATTATCATCATTGCAGGCAAAATTAATCTCGAAACTTTAGATAACCTTGTACGCAGAATATTTCATATTGTATATGGTTTTTTGTTATTTCTGACCGACAATTAGCAGAAGGCACACAAACATCAAAGTAAAATACTTAACTTTGACCAGACAGCACAACAATCTTGCTCAGAAAGGTCCGCGAACGGTCCACGTGTATGGGATCGCCATTTTGAATTCGGCGGCGGCGAGTCTTGAACTGATTTCTATTTTCTATTTCAACTGTTCTCTTGACGTTCGTCTTGATAACTGGCTGTTGAGATAAACGTTAATGACAAAATGTTCAGTTCTGCTTCAGTCTATAGGTGCGGAAGTTGCTCATGACATAAATTTTCAGTAAAAAATTATCATCATTGCAGGCAGAATTAAGTTCGAAATTTTAGATAACCTTGTACGCAGAATATTTCATATTGTATATGGCTTTTTGTCATTTCTGGCCAACAATTAGCCGAAGGCACACAAACATCAAAGTAAAATACTTAACTTTGACCAGACAGCACAACAATCTTGCCCAGAAAGGTCTGCGAACGGTCCAGGTGGATGGTTTTCTTTGGCATCGCCATTTTGAATTTGGCCGGGCGAGTCTTCGCATTCATCTTGACAACTAGCTGTTCAGATAAACCTATATACAACGAAAAAAAAGGGTTCGGCTCAGCTACACTGTACTCCTTAAGGAAGGCCTACGGCCTTCCCGTAGATTAGTGTAAAGGCCTACAAGTGGGAACTAGCAACTAGCGTGCGGGGGACCAAAACGCTCTAGGCAAACGGTCCCCCTACTGGGGTCGGACAAAGCAACCGCAGATTACGCATATAATCGCCGGAACCCACCTTTTAGTCAACGGCGAACTCCTTCTTCGAACAATCTTCAATCTTGCTGAGCTTCGATCTTGCTGTCCACCTTCGATCGCCACCAATCTAAAGAAATTTTTTTTTAACGTTGAGATTAGTTTCATAGGCAATAATTACCATGTGATCTTAGCAGATCACGTGGTATGATAATGTACGACAACATGCCGATCAACTCCGAACATCATCGTGAGCGATGTTACTATAAACGAATCACTAAACGCCTAGAAAAAAGTTGTCCTTTCCTATATTTCAACCTTTTAAAAGCAGTGCATTCTAGTTTTGTTTTGAAGCACAATTTGTTTTTTGCTTCTAGTTTTTTGGTTTCGTTTTAAAAGGTGAATTGTCTCTGTGTGCCGAATTCTTTGTATTTCTGATGTCAAACAATCCCTTTTTGGTATCATAAATATAAGCTCCTTTGTTTTGGAGACATACAACAGTTTTTTTTATATTTTAGCCAAAACATATAGCAGCAATTACAGATTCACTAAGTTCATTCTCATCTTGATTCACAAATTTTTAAAGGACTTGAATCGATTCCATGCGGTCTACAATAGCTGGGCGAACGTCTTACACCTAAAGTCAGTCAAAGATTGTTGTATCTCAATTCTTCAGCTTCAGTGGTTCTTTAGACTTAGCAATAGTTTATTTCCCTTTCTTATCATTGCATTCCAGTTTAAAATTATAGTTTATATTGTATTTCCAGGCATTTATTCCATATTTCCCTTTCTTATCATTGCATTCCGGTTTCAATTTATAGTTTATATTGTCAGACAATAATTGTCTTTCCAGGCATTTATTCCACTACATATCTCCAATATTGTAAAAGTGGTTCTTTAAACCCTCAGATCAAAACATTGGCAAAAACAATCTGAAACACAAAATATTAACATCAGACTCTGATAAAACAACATTGAATCAACGTTTAAACAATTCTACTTCCCCTCATTCTAAGGCTACTAAATGGTGCTGACCCCTCTTATATATCAAACTACATGCATCAACCTGCCTTGGCAAAAACAAAAACGGGCTTTAAAGAGTTAGTTTTCCATTTCTTTTCTTAGCACTTAATCGAATGTTTCAAAATACAAACTAATTTGGCAACACAGGTCCCACAATTATGTCAAACACCGAATACATGGTCTGAAATAATTCGCCATTCCTCTCGCCTCTCGACTGAAGGCGGATTTTTTAATAAAATTAAACCACAAATCTTTTTAAAACTACTGCACCCTTACTGAAGTGTTCGGTTGGGGCATGGAATGTTAAAATAAAACAAAAACAACACACTATTAAAAAAAGTACGAAAATTTAATAAAATGGCGGCTTACTGCCTTACCTCGTGGTTTTCAAATCGCCTTTCACTTCATTTCTCGCTGGACTTTTAATCTAACAAAGCAGAAAAATGAACGTCATTTACGTGAAATAAATGCTTTGGCATAACAAACATTCTTACTCTAAAACGTTGAACTAATGCAAAAGAAATCGACCGAAAAAATATTCAGAAAATTCCAACATTCGATGCGCGAGGACGAAGTCATATTAAAAAAGGCAGCAAACAAAAAACATACGCTTATGAGATATATATCTAGATATACTTATAATCGGAATATCTTTTTCTCAACAAGCTTCACTTCATTAAAATAACTTTATAGTTTCTCTTTAAAACATAGAAAATTAAAAAATTTCCGGGCTTTCCTTCCTTCGCCTTTCTTCTCCGAAATCTATCCTCGTTACCCGGTTTTTCGCGTACTGGGCGTGCCGAATGCCCCCCCTGATTTGTGCACAATTTACCGTACAATTTTATATTATTGATACTGCATGTCTAAATTCTAAAACGATCAATATTTTCAATACATTCAATATTTTTCAGGTAATTAGTTATTGTATTTAAAATTAATTGTGATAATGATTTATTTGATTCTTTCTCCATGTAAATAATCATGAGAACAAGCATAGGCATAGAGTATTGGGGGCTGAGGGACTCGGCCCCCCAAGAAATCTTACTGGGGGGCCTCAGCCCCCCTAAAAATTTGCCAGAAAGTAATAATTGCATCAGAGCAATGTTGAATCTTTCAAAAAAGATCTTTATATACACATGAAACGGTATTATTATAGTTGATATTATAATATATCGAGCAACTCGGAAAAGCAATTGCGAAATACAGAATTTTCAAGCTGTAAATCATAAAATACATGGCAGCTTGTAAAATCATAAAATACATGGCAGCTTGTTCATTTTATCTTTCATTAGCTTTTCTACCCACAACAGGTCAAAATCATTGGTAAATATTTTCTCCACCTATCGGCCATATGAACCATGACTACCGATGCAACTATATATCAAGAGGAAATTTATTCTATTTAATTTTATCTAATGTCAGAAAGTGTTGCTAGCTAGATATCATGTATCTAAAGTTTAAGCCCCCCAGAAGAAAACAAAACTCTAAACCTATGAGAAAAGTTTCAAAATTCATGTTTGTAAATTCATAAATCCTTGCTCTTTGCACAAAATTCCTCAGTCAGCACTTTTTTATTGCTAAGACTCCCAGTGCAATCAATTACTCAGGCTTTTTGGAAAACCTGGAAGGATGGCCCACAAAATCAATTTGGAATTTCCCACAATTTGCATAACCATCCAGAGCTCCCATTTTCATCATATAATACCAATAAAGATACAGTACAGATATCAGATATACAGAGACAAAAGAGTACAGAGATCAACTGAAGCACTAACATATTGTACATGATCCAATAAACATCTGGGGCTTTTAAGTCTAGGTCATTAATTTTTTTTCATTTTCATTTTGAAAATATAAAAATCTTTTCATGACATATTGCAAGTCAAGTTGCTCTGAGTAAAAAAGACTTGTAGAAAATTTCAATTGCTATAGTTACCCAGAACAAACACACCCAATGGTGGAAATAGACGATTTTTGCAAACAAGATAACAAACTAGGTTTTAACGCTAAAATGACAGCATTAGTTTTTTTAGTTCTAAATATTTTTGCCTCCAAGCTGAACCTCAAATAAATAAAACTTTTCCAAAACATTTTACAGGCTATATATTTAAAACTTCTATGATCTATCTAAAATAAACAGTCCCTATTTTACGTAGACTGAATGGTTCACGTCCCAGCCAATTGTCTTTAGAATAAACCATGAGAATTTTATCAAGTTACCTTTATTATTTTTCGAATTATCGTGCACGAAAGTAAGGGGAATGACAATTTTAGCTTGCTAAGAAAAACTAAAAAAGTTTTTCATTAATTATACAGAACAATGAAACAAGCTAATCGACTCCTTAAATTTTTAAAACAGGGTAAATCTACATTTTCAATGACCAACACCACCTTAATGAAATCTGCCAATTCTAGAGAGAGCATTTAATAGAGAGAGGCATTTATATCATTAGCACCACCATATTTTGAAGAAGTGAAAATACCACTAAGACTAAATATCAATAATTTGTGATGCCATTCTAATACATACAGCATCAAGTGTTAGTTAATGCAGTTTGTGCATGTAAACTTAAAAAGTCTCCCATGTGTTTCAAAGTCGCAATTTAGGGCAAGTGCCTATTGCAAAAATTTCCTCATTGTCAAAGTTTGTGCAAACTGTTTGTGAATGTTTCCAAAACAAAACAATTAAATTACAAATTAAAATTGAACATTATAACCAAGACACTCTGAAACACACAACCACACTAGGGACATTAAACATTACTGGGACGATTAAGTTCAAAATGGAAAACAAAATCATCTATTTATTGAACAACTGAGCTGAAATATTTCGATGTAAATAGTTTAATTGTCAATAGAAGTACATATTTAATGCGTAAGATGCAGGTACATTCATTCACAAGACCTGTTAGAGTACTTTTAAACTTGGGTTATCCACTGTTTAAGCTAAACGGCTTTCGAACAACCGGCCCCTGGTGTTTTGATTCAGAAGAGGCATTTATTAGACATAGATGCCTAATGCAAACATATGTTGAAGAGAGTAGTTTCAGACGTTTATAGGATAGAGACCGTTCATTGCATCATTTATGATTGCAATCAAATCGAGTCCGTAAAATGCTGTAATACTATGACACAAGTTACTCAATATTCAATAACCTATCAAGCTCATTTGGAATTATACAAAGGAAAAGGAAAGCCCAAACGAAAATCATATTTGATTATATTTATGTAAGAAACTCACCGTAAAATGACTGAAGTAGGTTTTCAAGGAGGGACTTTGTTATCCACCATGTTACAAATGAATTTGTTTGGATGCTTCCTTCTAAAAATGCAATATATACCAACTGCAGTTAATCCATACATCTTTAGCAACACTTGTTCAGTTCTAGGCAGACAATTTTTGATGCACAATTTTTAAAATTAATAAATATACCTTTTTATTCTGTGAGCTGATAAAAGCCTGATCTCATTTACAATCTATAAGATATCAAAAGTTGAAAAGTTTTACTCATTTGTAAAAGTTATAAGTAATCAGATGATAAAAGGCGAACATGCAGAAGGTGGGTTAATAGTTCACATATTTCCACGCAATATTTGTCCATTACTAGCTGGTAGTCATCACAGTAAACCATCAATTATGAGTAAAAGCAATCAGCCACAAAATCAATTTGGAATTTCCCACAATTTTGCATAACCATCCAGAGCTCCCATTTTCATCATATAATACCAATAAAGATACAGTACAGAATAAAGATATCAGATATACAGAGACAAAAGAGTACAGAGATCAACTGAAGCACTAACATATTGTACATGATCCAATAAACATCTGGGGCTTTTAAGTCTAGGTCATTAATTTTTTTTCATTTTTATTTTGAAAAATATAAAAATCTTTTCATGACATATTGCAAGTCAAGTTGCTCTGAGTGAAAAAGACTTGTAGAAAATTTCAATTGCTATAGTTACCAAGAACAAACACACCCAATGGTGGGAAATAGACGATTTTTGCAAACAAGATAACAAACTAGGTATTAACGCTAGAATGACAGCATTAGTTTTATTTAGTTCTAAATACTTTTGCCTCCAAGCTGAACCTCAAATAAATAAAACATTTCCAAAACATTTTACAGGCTATATATTTAAAACTTCTATGATCTATCTAAAATAAACAGTCCCTATTTTACATAGACTGAATGGTTCACATCCCAGCCAATTGTCTTTAGAGTAAACCATGAGAATTTTATCAAGTTACCTTTATTATTTTTTGAATTATCGTGCACGAAAGTAAAGGGAATGACAATTTTAGTTTGCTAAGAAAAACTAAAAAAGTTTTTCATTAATTATACAGAACAATGAAACAAGCTAATCGACTCCTTAAATTTTTAAAACAGGGTAAATCTACATTTTCAATGACCAACACCACCTTAATGAAATCTGCCAATTCTAGAGAGAGCATTTAATAGAGAGAGGCATTTATATCATTAGCACCACCATATTTTGAAGAAGTGAAAACACCACTAAGACTAAATATTAATAATTTGTGATGCCATTCTAATACATACAGCATCAAGTGTTAGTTAATGCAGTTTGTGCATTTAAACTTAAAAAGTCTCCCATGTGTTTCAAAGTCGCAATTTAGGGCATGTGCCTTTGCAAAAATTTCCTCATTGTCAAAGTTTGTGCAAACTAATTGTGAATGTTTCCAAAACAAAACAATTAAATTACAAATTAAAATTGAACATTATAACCAAGACACTCTGAAACACACAACCACACTAGGGACATTAAACATTACTGGGACGATTAAGTTCAAAATGGAAAACAAAATCATCTATTTATTGAACAACTGAGCTGAAATATTTTGATGTAAATAGTTTAATTGTCAATGGAAGTACATATTTAATGCGTAAGATGCAGGTTCATTCATTCACAAGATCTGTTAGAGTACTTTTAAACTTGGGTTATCCACCGTTTAAGCTAAAAGCCTTTCGAACAACCGGCCCCTGGTGTTTTGATTCGGAGGAGGCATTTATTAGACACAGATGCCTAATGCAAACATATGTTGAAGGGAGTAGTTTCAGACGTTTATATGATAGAGACCGTTCATTGCATCATTTATAAGTGCAATCAAATCGAGTCCGTAAAATGCTGTAATACTATGACACAAGTTACTCAATATTCAATAACCTATCAAGCTCATTTGGAATTATACAAAGGAAAAGGAAAGCCCAACCGAAAATCATATTTGATTATATTTATGTAAGAAACTCACCGTAAAATGACTGAAGTACGTTTTCAAAGAGGGACTTTGTTATCCACCATGTTACAAATGAATTTGTTTGGATGCTTCCTTCTAAAAATGCAATATATACCAACTGCAGTTAATCCATACATCTTTAGCAACACTTGTTCAGTTCTAGGCAGACAATTTTTGATGCACAATTTCTAAAATTAATAAATATACCTTGTTATTCTGTGAGCTGATAAAAGCCTGATCTCATTTACAATCTATAAGATATCAAAAGTTGAAAAGTTTTACTCATTTGTAAAAGTTATAAGTAATCAGATGATAAAAGGCGAACATGCAGAAGGTGGGTTAATAGTTCACATAATTCCACGCAATATTTGTCCATTACTAGCTGGTAGTCATCACAGTAAACCATCAATTATGAGTAAAAGCAATCAGCTGTAATCGTTCCACATGTTAAATTCCACTTATTCGAATTCGAATAAGCTTTATATCGCTTAAGATTACACTTAAAGAATAAAGCAAGAGACGGGAATATTTTCAATACCTTTCCGAGCTTGTAGCGCCAACAATTTACGATCTTTTTGCAAGCAAAAACATTTCTTGATTGACCACCATATTGAATAGATCGAGAGAGAAGCTCGTCGTGAACTGCGCATGTGTTAGGTTCAGCATAAATTATTACATCATAGATACGATTACGTAAACTTCATTTGCATATATCGTAGCTAGAGATTTGCCAGGCGGAAAACGGATTCTTATTATAAATATGAGAGCCCAACATATAACCTTAAAGAAAGTCATCATTACTTTTAAACTTCAATTGTTTTGATGGCTTTCTTAAATGTTATATGTTGGGCTCTCATATTTATAATAAGATTCATTTGCATATATTGATTAGACAGATCATAAATTAAAAAGGAAGACAAAAGAGGTTGCTACCACAACCCGGGGGCACTTTGGGGGAGAAAAACAAACCCCCGCCGCGCCCATAATTGAGGTAACAGAGAGGAGAGTTTTTAGAAAGATCCCGAAGGATCTCCAACGATACCGCCATAGGCAGCACCGAGAGAAGACAGTCACATAATTCTATTTATTCAAATTAACTATATACTTATTTAAAAGAATTCTAAATAAAACTAGATCAAAATTAACTATTCTAATCACCATGCATTTTCCAATGGGCTGTTTAAACTCTTCGAATGTCATAATGATTGTTGTTCTTCCTAATTTTTATAGAAAAGGAGTACTTCGCACGTAAAGTTAAAGTTTAAGAAACTTTAAAAAACCTCTGCAATCTTAACATTTAGTCCAAAATCGTCTACCACTTCAAGTTCTTTTCTATAGAAAGGTGATCTAGATCCCCTTACACTCGTATGTACCGATCTTAGAATTTCGAATGAGATTCTGGTTCTCAACCAAGCTATGAAAACTGCATAACGTTCATGGTCTCCTGCTAATTTCTGCGCCAGCTGAGTAAGAAACTTGTGGCATTCAGACCCCATTCCACCATTGGTTCCAAGAACAAGTGGGGTAAAGGAGCCCATTTCAACATCTAAAACTCTCTGTTGGTATTTTCTCTTCTTTTCGTTCTCGTGTTCCTTAAAAGTGTTCTGGGTAGGGCGGCTTGGTTACATCGGGAGTTTACATGCCTTACTCTTACGTCAAAAAATGCAGTAGCTCCACGTAGCCAGAAACCGTCCGCCTTCATGTCCAATCTCGCTTCGGGACTTATATTGGCCGATCTCAAGTCAAATCTCTCATTATCAAGGGGTTGAAGATGAGGCTCAATTTCCACATTCTTACACACTTTATCCAGTTGCGCTGTTAGCAAATTACGGATTCCATCGTGCCTTTGTGCCACGAACCCACCTTTTTTACAAGAGAGGGCATGATTGATGTTAAAGCGATCTCCACACGCACAATGACTTGGTAAATCGTTCAAAGTTAAATTGTATCTCATTCGTAACGAGTCTCTGAATTCTTGCTTATTGAGGGCTAGACCTTGATCTTTGAGTGGAATCGCATTTAGCCAGGAACTCGCTCCTTTGTCTCGGGATTGCTTTACCAAGAACAGTAGGTCTGGAGAAAGTGTTGCATCAATGTTATCCATTCTTGACTTAATAATTTCCGCTTTGTTTGCTTGCTGCATTCGCTTCAGATCATCTATAGACTGCTCTATCGGTTCCAGAGCCTCACTCTGCTGTTTAATTGAATTTACATGTTGATTAGTAAATAATTTTGAGGCTGCATATTGCAAAGGAGCTTCTATTCTCAAATTCGGTACGCCTAATCCCCCTTGAGCTAGCGTTAGGGTCACAAGCTCACTCGCAAGGGGTTCTTCTTGACCAAAAAATTGTGGTACGAGAATGTCATTCAATGTTTCATGTATCGGTTCTACGTACTCTTCGAAGGCCTCAATTGTTCGCATGAAGTAGGTAAATTTTGATTTGTATGCTTTCGTAAGGGCAATGTAGGCTGCATGAGGCTGGCTTTTCGCGATTTCCGTGAGTGATGAGATATCTTGTACCCATCCTTGAATTTTTTCTTTACAATACTCATCTTTATATTCTTTTGATCTATACAGCACCCAAATGGCGTTTTCCTTCTGTGTGTAATTTTAAACTTTTCTCCAAAGATCTGCTCTGCTTCTTTGGCCAGTTCTTGCATCTTCATTATCAGCCAACACTCTGGACCATTTACTAGATAGCCGTATTTCTTTCCTTCCTCTTCCAAATGCTTATACCAATTATATAAATGTGTCAATCTTCCTCCTCCCGCTGAGTCATCAGCCAGCCATACTTGTTTGATTTCTGGTATGTTCAATCTCAAACTTTGAATCATTATAGCTGTGTTAATTGAGTACCAGGACATAGCTAGAAGATCCGCTTGGGTGGTACCTTCTTGCGACAAATCTCACCTCC